AGCTCCCTTTATACCTTTATCTATCATTGTTTTACTTGTTTTCCTAATAATTGAAAAAGGGGGGAAAGCAGAGGATGAGGTGTAGAAACACTTTATATATGGAAGTAAACTTTCGGAGATGGAGTTCAAGTATACTGTTTTTGCATAACTTATAAGTATACTTGCTGCCATTTGACTTACCACCTGATACATTTTGTGAACACTTACTTATAGAAGTTAGAGGAAATTTCATAAAAATGTATCCTAGGACTTTCTACAGGAACTCTGGCAGCCTAGTGGCAAGAAGCTGCGCTGCCATCCCGAAGGCACATGGTTCGAAGCTACCAGCTGCTCCTCTGAGCAAGATAGTCAATCTCCTCTCATGCAATTAAACTGCCTCTGAAAACCCACCATAGGGTCAGCAAGGGTCGGTTCCAACTCTATGATACACAACAGTAACAACAGTTTTTGGACAATATGCTGTGAGTTTATTCAAAAGGAAAAGATAGGCAGATCTTTTCCAGTTTTCTCTATTTACATATAAATTCTGTTTGGATTTCTTGGTTTTGTTACTAGTGTCACTCAGTACATTTCTGTCATGATTCAGTAAATTTTTGTCAGAAGAATAAGAGAGTTAAAGATTTGTTGTTGTTGTTGTAGTATAGAAATGGCTTTATTGTGAGCTCTTGATTTCTACTAGTCTACAGAACATGCTTTCCAACACTGGGGTTTTTGTTTTTTCTGTAGTGAAACTTTACAAATTATACTGCATTTTCTTTCACTCATTCATAGACATCTTGTTTTAGAACATTAATTGCCATAGATTAAGATAGTTAATTACAACGTCTAATCAAATCTTGTTATGTGTTCCCTTTCTCTTCACCCAACTGATCTATTTATTACATCAGGGACAGTGTATAGGGGGAGTTTCTGCATGAACTGTAGTTGACCTGGAAAATGTGTTATTCTAAGATTCTAGATCTAGGAAATAGTGACAATTATTTAAATGTATATTCATTCAGTGATTTTATTGAAATCTTACTGTGTGCCAGATACTGAAATTAGTGTGAAGATTCAGCAGTAAATAAAATAAACCTAAATCTCATTTCAAAGAAACAGACAGCCCAGTTACAACTCTTCACTGTGGTACAATCCTATTCTATGTTGGATTTGTAAGACAAACTTGACTGATCTTAGTGTATTCACTAGGATTTCATTGGTTGCTATGGCAATTGCCTTTTCTTTCTTTCCACCTCATGTCCTTTCTTCCTACTGTTATTGTTTGTGGCATATAAATGTTGATATTAATCCTCTCTCTGCAAAGTTTCCCCACCTCCCCCGTCTTGGTTCAATCATTGTGTTATGTGTACAAATTTTGAGAACTCACTTCAGTGGTCCAAGTGCTAAAATTGAGATAGAATATGAACTTTGCTGTCTTGGCTAGCAGAGATTAAGCTGCCGTTTCAGAGTTTTGGTCCACCTGGGTAGTCTAGTGAATAAGGAGTGCACTGCCAGCCCAAAAGCACACAGGTCAAGTTCACCAACTATTTTTCTCTCCTGGAGAAAAGTGAACAGTCTTCTCTGGTGCAATTTACAACCTCTCAAAACCCACTGGAGGGTCAGCTCTGAGTCGGTTCCAAAAATGGCAATGTGTTTGTATTGTTGACAATGTCCTGTGGCACTCTCATCAGCCCTCCTCTGGCGAGGTCTCTGTAGTGGCAGACAGACTTTAAAGATAAAAAAAGTACAATTCAAATTGAAAAAAGGTTAATAATATGTGCTTTGAGCTCAGCACCATGTGCAAAGGTGTAGTTAGCACATAATTAATGTATAGTTTACTTTCTGGGAGTTCAGGCAAAAGTAACATGGGCTCTTCTCTTAAAATGCTATCACATAGTCCACTTTACTGTTTTGAATTGTACACAGTACAGCAGAGGGAGTAATGTCTCACCTGCCCCAGGGGAGAAAGATATGTTAGATAAATGAGTGATTGATTTTTCTACAATCTTTAAGACATCCCAATTTCTAAAAATTCACAAGGTTTTGTTAAAAGGTAACTATCAGATATAGATAATGAGGGATGAATAGCTTATCTTAAGCAATAACTATGTTATGAAGGAGATAAGAGGTATGGAATATTTAAGGTGGTTTCAGAATGACAACCCTGACCTTCCTTAACTTGTGTTTTCAATCCTCTGTCATGAAAACATGAACTGGGCACAGGATCTGACAGCAACAGGCCTATAAAGTGTACTGTTTGGCACTTTAGGTGCCTTCAAGCTGAGTACTATTCATAGACATTCTGTGAACAGCAGATCTGAACCCTGACCTATCCTGTACCGTCCTCATAATCTCTAACAGGCTCAAGCTCATTGCTGCAGTCACTGTGTCTGTCCGTCTCAAGGAGGGTTTTCCTCTTTTTAACTGACACTCACCTTTCCAAGCATGATGTCCCACTCCAAGGAATAGCTCTTACTAGCAACATGCCCAAAGTACGTGAGACAAACTTTTGTCTTCTTTGCCTCTAGGGACCATTCTGACTGTACTTGCTTCAAGTCGTACCTGTTTGTTCTTTTGGAAGTCCATGGAATATTCAGTATTTTTCTCCAAAAGCACAGCTCCTTACCACTAAGTTGCCATAGCTTCTTGTGCCTTTTAGACAGAGTTTTTGGATGCAGCTTTTCTTTAAACAGTATTTTATACTATCTTTTTCTACATGATGATTTTCTTCTCTATGATGATTTTCTCTTCTTGTGTTAGACCATGTAACTGAAGCCTATGAAAATCAAATCTGAATCAAGAAACAAACTTAAATCCATATTGTTCACATATCTTGAGAAACATTTAAACTGCTTATCTGCAGTCAAAGACTTCTCCAAATTGCAAAAGAGCAAGGGCAACAGTTTAAAGAATAAAATGTGCTTGATTCAAGCCATGGTGTTTTCAATTGTTTCCTACACTTCTCAAAGTTGAACAGTGAGTAAAAAGGACAGAAGAAGAACGTGTGCCTTTGCATTGTGGTGTTGAAGAAGAGTACTGAATATCCTGGGGACTGCTAAAAGAACTTCATTTCACATACATTGTGCATGTCAGGAAGGACCAGTTGTGAGAAAAAGAAATCACTCTGGGTTAGAGAAAGAGAGGAAGACCCTCAACAAAATAGATTGACACAGTAGTGATAGCAATGGTGTGGAGCACATCAGACATTTTGAGGACAGGACATTGTGGGACAGGGCAAGGTTCAGACTTGTTTTTCATAGGGACTATGAGACCTATTGGTGGCCTAGTGGTAAGAAACTGCATTGTAATCCCAAAAGCAAGCGGTTCGAATCCACCAGCTGCTCCCCGGGAAAAAGGATGGACAGTCTCCTCCTGTGCGATTTACTGTCTCTGAAAACTTGCTGGTGGGTAAATTATAGGTTGATTCTGACACAACACTTAACAACAACAACAAAAAAGTGAGTCATAGTTGACTAACAACAGTTGACCTAACAACAACAATAAAAGGCAAATTTGTGCTAATTCAAAGCTCAACATTAATAAAGAGATACTGGGCCAATTGACAGCACCATGGTAGGCGGAGAAGAGATAAAGATTTTTTAAGATTGTTAACAGTTTCAGCTTGCTAAGTTCCACAATCAACACTCTTGGCACCAGCATTCAGGAAATCAAAAGATGAATAGCATTAGGAAAATCTGCTGTCAGGGACCCCCCAGAGTGCTGAAGAGCGATGATGTCAGTCTAGAGACTAAGGTGCTCCTTATCCAGGTCATGGCCTTCTCAATTACTTGCTATGCAATAAAGAGCTGGAGAATGATCAAAGATGACAGAAGAAGATTTGATGCCTTTGAGTGGTGGTGCTAGAGAAGAGTATTGAACATGGACTGCCAAGAGAACAAACAGATCTGTCCCTGAGATGGTGAAAACAGGTTGCTCACTAGAGGTAAAGCTAGGATTTTAAAGCTTCATCTCCCATACTTTGGGACTGTTGCCAGGAGGAACCAGTCCTTGGTGAAGGATATCATACTTGGAAGGGTGGAGGACAGGGCAAGAGAGAAAGACCCTGGATGAGACGGATTAGCACAGTAACTGGGGTAATGAAGGTAGGTGTATTAGAAACAGTGAAATTGACTCAGGATAGAGTAGGGTTTGGAGCTATTGTGCATAGATAGGGTCATTGTGAGTCATAGTCGACTTGATGGCACATAATAGCAACAATAGAGTTATTCATAAAAATTGTAATTTCTAGCCATATTCCAATAATATCTTATTCATACAAGACCAACTTTTAACATGGAATATGAATATTGCAGGAGAAGCTGCACTATAATCCCAGAGGCACATGGTTCAAATCCACCAGCTACTCCATGGGAGAAAGATGGACAGTCAACTCCTATGCTAATGATGCCTCTGAAAACCTACTGGAAGGTCAGCTATGAATTGTTTCTGACTCCATGGCAAACAACGACATGAATATTACAGACACTCACACAAAATTACTGACATTATGCATTTCCAGAAGACAAAGGAAGTAGAAAAATGTAAACTAATGATAAAAAAAAATTTAAAAATATTTCCCAGTTAGAAATACACTGTCTTGGGGAGCTCTGGTGGCCTAGTGGCAAGAAGTTGCACTGCAATCCCAGAGGAGCACGGTTCAAATCCACCAGATGCTCTGCCAGAGAAGGAGGCGCAATATCCTCCTGTACCAGTCAGATCGACGGTACACGCACACAAAATAATAATAATTTAAAAAAAAAGAAATACACTGTCTTGACGATATCTTCCAAAACTGGATAAGAGAGACTTTCACAGAAGAAGAGAAAGTAGAAGAGAAGGTGCTGGACTAGTAATTATAAAGGGTCGTTAATCATCTTTCCATCCTTCATATATATGTGTCTAGGTCTGTTTGAGTCTTTGCCTGGTTTTCACACCATGTATTTACCATTTTTGTTTCGGCCAGGAAGAACATATGCTTTGTTGTCTTATTAACTGTTCTTACTGATGGTGACTTTTTAAAGGCTGATATGCAACAAAAGAAGGAGCCCGTTCAGGACGACTCTGATCTGGATCGCAAACGCCGAGAGACCGAGGCTCTCCTGCAAAGCATTGGTATCTCACCGGAACCCCCTCTAGGTACTTAAAAAGTCTTCCTGTTGCTATTGTGGGATATACCATGTCCAGCGTTCACTTGTCTTTTAAGTCTTTAGCTTTATTCTTTTCGTTTTTTAACAAATTCAGTCGCTTACAGTTCATTTGCATGCACTTTTGGAATTGAGGAGGCTGGAAGAGATAAAAGGAAAGGTTGTAGTGTTACCAATTTGCTGCCTATTAACCAATTCAGCTTTCCCTACTGTCTTACTGTTAGATTATTCTATGCTTATTAAATGAATTACCACGTGGTTAAAAAAAACCAGAGAGTCTGCAACTTTTAAAAATTATTTTGTTCTGCTTTGTACTGCTGAATCCCAAACTGTTTTTGCTGAAATGTGGTGAATCTAGCTGTAAATGTCATAACCACCACATGCATTGAGTTATTTTCACGGTACAAAAATATGCTTGGTGGGAAGTTTGAATGAAATGTTAAAATGGTTATACATTAGCAGCTAATTAACTAATCCGAATTTATTCAACTCTGTTGTATATTTGGTTTCATTGCTAATGGCATTTTCATTCACCACCCCTCCTCCAACTCATTCATTCCTGGGTAATTGTTCATGATCTTATTTTGTCACTTGTTTTTGAATATTGAACTATTTGTTTTACTTTTGCTGAAGATAATTTGTACTTGATATGTCTCCTTTGCTTAACTTGTGTGTCTCATGCGATAAATTATTTTCTTTTTATCCTTTTGCTTTCTATACATTTCAGGGACATCCTTGGATGTCTGTAAAACTATCTGATACCTCCACTAGAGTAGAAAAATATTTTCATGTTACATATAGCTAAGTACAGGTCTTTTTAAAAATAGCTTGCCTTTTTTTAATTACGTCATAGAGTTCTTTGTTAAAACAAATTTTCACTCCCACAGTTAATTAAATTTAGAATTAAAATTATCCCATGTAGCCAAATGACAAATGTAAGAAAAATTTGTGATAAACTTATAAATTGTTTGTAATAAACTTGTAAAGTTAAGTTTTGCTAAATACAATTTAATACATACACGCAAAATTAAAGCACTATGGAAAAGTCTTTTCTACTAAACCTAAGTTAGTACTAGGTAAAACCATGGCTACAAATTTAACATCTAACCATGATAGGATAAGGCCAAGGCCTATATTGATTATTTCATTTAGCTTTGTAGGATAAGCCTATAGGATAGTTGTCTGATAGATATTCTTAGGCTGACAAACTTTTTGTATAAAATGAGACACTTGCTGTCAGTTGTATTTGTGCCTCAAAATAGCCTTTCAAAAAATGTTGAAATGTGAACACTGGTTAAACATTGTAGTAGTATGGCCTATTTTCACATGTGTAAAACTAGTAATTAAACTTTAAGAATAATTAAACTTTAAGAATAAAACCGTTAAATACTCCCAAGTCATGCCCCTGCAAGGGGCCCTGGAGAAGGTAGACATATTTTTATTTTTTATCCATCTCTCCAACTTACCCTCTGACTTATCGCAGAGGGTAATCAGTGCATTAATTGTGGGACCACATGAAAATTCCTAGTTTCTTGACAGATCTGCCATTGTGTTATAGGATTTGGACAAAATAGTTAAGCCCTTTACCCTATTAAATAAATAAAAGGAAATTGCAGATGATTGAAACCAAATGGGAGTCTACACTTAGGCATTGAAGTCTCTTTCTGCCCATATGGTTTCTTTGGCGTGTGTGACATTGAGAACCTGATGAATTTGCTTGGAGTAAAGCCATCTTGGCTATTTGGAGCAGCTTCTATTTGAAGGACATTTGGCTTGTATCTGCAGGATAGAAGGGAAATGCATTTGCATATTCTTTAGCTTTTTGCTTTTATTATTCTTGCTCTCAGATTTTCAGCTTGCACTGACCTCGATCTTTGAACCTGTCTCTCATGTCTTCAGACTGGTAGTTTATTCATGTGCACATGGCAGCCTCTTTAAGGGCTGCTGGAGGCAAAGGAAAGCAAGTCCCCAAAACAATAAACAGTACAATGAAATGAAACTAATAATTAAATGTAAAAATAAAGCAGCCTGGCTGTTCCCTTTGCTTGGAAAGAGATTTTTTAATTACTAGGTTCAACACTGAACCTTTCTCGTTGTACCACTTACTTTCTCATCATAAATATAGTTTATATTTTCTCATCATAAATATAGTTTGTATTTTGTAGACAATAGATTTCTCTCCAAGTGTATACCAGTTTTCTGATTTCCCTTGACCATTAAAAATTGCTCACCATCACACACTTCATAAATTCTCAGAGTTTTACAGACACCCTATTGTAGTTTTTTAATAGGTCACATCTAAACTAACAAAATAAAGTGAAGAATTGGAATTATCTGGATAGTTCCCACCCGAGAAGTCATTGACTTGGATTATCTGGATAATGATTTCAATTCTCCTCTTTACTTTGCTAGGGTGGACATGGCCTTAGAAGCCCTTAGTTGATCCTGTCTAAATTCATTTCAAATTTTAATTTCCAAAATATGAAAAATTCACCTGACTTTCTCCCTTTTCTTTCCTTCTTATTTTCTTTTGTCCTTATCCCCTCTTGATCTCTTCTGGCCATATAATCACTTTGATTTGGGTTCATTTGTTTTGGTTTGTCTGACACTGCTCTTCACCAGTGCAGTCGCTACATTTCTTAACATGGGATACCTGTTATTTTCATTATTTAGTCCCAACCCCTATGTCTCCCTCTTCGAAATCAGTGAGCACTCCCAGTGAAGCTGGAAGTCAAGACTCAGGAGATCTGGGACCATTAACAAGGTAAGAACGATCCCTTTTGTAGAGACCTAACTGGGTGAAATACAAAAGCTAAAACTTAAAAACCAGACCACTCTTCTAACTACACTTGCAAATGTGCATTTGTATATGCATTTATACTCAGTCATTTTATGTTTATATTTATTGTAGCTTGCTATTTTTGATGGAATAGCTAGGCTTTTGAGTACTAGAAATTATATACTTGTACATCATTATGTTAATGCATGTGTTAATTTAGCATTGAGTATTCTGCTTAACAAGTTAATACCAAGTACTGACTTGGGCCTAAGAGAAAGTAAGGAAGGTATAAAGATAAATGGAATCTATCTGGCTTTTCTTTACTCTCCTTGGTTTTATTTTCCGTGAGAATCTATATGAATAGAACACTGAGATGATAAAACTCTTTACTTAATTTTTTCTGGAGTCTTGTTTATTGGATTCCTAAACATGGCTAATTTGAAAGTTCAGTTCATAGAATGTTTTATCATCATCATCATCATGGTTGACTACTTCTCTTTAGTGTGTTAATTACCGAATTTCTATAATGCTATATCTGTTCACTGATAGCTATAGCTTCTGAAAATGGATAATAGATAAGTGAAGAGAGGAAAATGCACTAGTCACCTACCTAATTATGTTGTCTTCAACAGCATCTCCACCTGCATATACACACCTCCAGGCAGGTGGTGTCAGTAAAGAAGTGTGTGGACAGGTCTGTGGCAACTGCTTAGCAAGCACCCTCTTTGCAAAGGGTGGATGACTTCCTCACAGGACAAGTGGGTTGAGCCCATGTGGAACTATGTGTCCTGTTTCCAACCACCCACACCTCCCACCTCCAATTCTTTTGAGAAGCTAAAAAATGAAAATATTTATGCAAAAAAAAATGTACTAAATTTTAAATGTTCGTAATTTTTGTTAAAACAATTGTGGGCCAGATTTGGCTTATAAGCAGTCAGTTTGTGACTAATTGTTATCTGCTCTTGACTCTTGAAAAAAGGGGGGGAAAACCCACCCAAAGCTTTCAATTAAAAAAAGGAAAATTATGCACAGAATTACCAGCCTGATACATTAGCCTTCTGGCTTATCTGTCTGCATTTAGAATCTTGGTCTGCTTCTATGTCATTCTTGCTGTCATATTCAATATGAAACTAAAAATGTTTTCATTTTTCTTATTTTATATAATATGTTATCATAAGCACTTTCATGTGGCATGTAATTACTTTGGTAAGAGCCTGGGAAATTTTGGTGGACAAAATATAGAGAAAAGAGAGTAATCTAGTGTTAGCCAGACCTGTGTTTTGTGTTTTTCCTTTTTCTTAACCAGAATGTAAAGCTGGAATTGTTAATGCTTTGGTATGCTTTAGACTAAGTATTTTGTTTCACTAGGGTGTTTTTAAACCAGTGGACATTGCTCTCAATTTAAGAAAAGTGAAAGTCAAGGTTTTTTGGGGCCTTGGCTGGTTTATTTTAGAAAATCGCCTTTGTGATTTGGGGCAGCGCATGTCTTCTCTCATCTTTTGCTTTGAACACTTCAAAAGGTCTTTGAGGGAAAAATAGTAATAATAACACAGTTGTGTAAGATCTAACATTTATCCCAAAGCTGGCACAATATAATCACATTCCTTAGGGGGTCCAGGGGCCTATCATTAAGTTAATATATTTGACCGTTTCTATACAATGATGGTGTTGTGTCATTGCTGCTTAGCTTCAAGGGCTGCAGTTGGCAGCATTTAATTCTATTACTGACTTCATAGTTGATGAGACCTTTTGAAAACATTCTAGAGAAAGCTGACCTAAGTTGTTATTGCTCTGGAGACAGCAGCAATTATTCTTTCTCAGAGGACATCACTCTTTATTTCTTTCCCCTTCTTATATGACTTTTTTTTAACTTAGTGAATCACTTTGAAAGCAATGTGAGCTACTCCTACTTCAAATTCCCGCTCACTTCTTTTCTTGATAGGAGAAATTGGGCAAGAATAGCTTACTAGAAGTCAGTAAATAAATCTCCTGCTAAGAGTGAGTTTCATAAGAATGCAAGAGAATTAGTATGAAAAAAAAAGAAAAGATGGTTTTCAGTGAAACCGAGCACAAAGTCTGCTTGAGGAGAATGCATTAGGAATAACTTAGTAAACCTGCCCTTGTTTTGAACCTAGGAAAATTCGACACAAATTTATAGTTTCACTTCAATAAAATTGATCTGAGAATGAAATTGCAGGAGAATGTTGTATTTGTTTTAAAATTCCGTTTGGAATATCTTTTTCTGTAGAAGAAAAATTCTTGAAAACAGATGACTGTTAACTTTAACACTTCATAAAACATGAAATTGGGAAAAGAGTTTTGTAATTCCAAGGGTTATAACTCTGGAGTCATAAATTTGCCCATTTGTGTGGAAGATCTTTGAGAAGATAGTTTAGACTCCAATCAGCACATCTGGCTATACCTAAAAGTGCACATAAAATCTTTCATTCATTTGCCAGAATTTCAAACACAAACAAAAAATTTTATTAGAGAGTCAAAATTGGCAGACATTTTTTATAACCCTTGCAACTAGTAAATTTGAAAATTGGCATGCTATATATACCTATTATAGAGCAAAGGTTGAAACAGTCCTCTAAAAATTAAGGTATAATATCCCACTTATTGATTTTTAAGAGTAGCTAAGTGATTTTTTTAATGGATGATTACAGAGTAGAAAGAATATAGTTCTTTTTAGATTACTTAATTTTTTATTTTTAAGTATCAAAGTATCACAATTTTTTCACAGTTTATTATGCTTCTGTTTTTATAACCTGTTTCTCATTTGTAACTCATATTTGTGGTCCCCTCCACCCCGCTTTCTCTTGGTTAGCTTTAAAAGGTCAAATTAATCATTGCTCAATTAATGATATTGAACAAAGGACTAGTTCTTAAATTGAAAAAAAAAGAACTTTATTAACAAAATATTTGAATGACTAGACTTTTAATTTTAATATTCAAAGATGGGGGGAATTCTAAATATACTTAAGGCAAATAGAATCCAACAAAATATTAAGAGGATATTAAGCTGGATTTATTAAAAACACAAGGATATTTTAATATTGAAAATCTATTACTGTAATTGGTGCCTTTAAATTGTGGTGTTGGCAAAGAATATTGAATATAGCACGGACTGCCAAATGAACAAATATATCTTGCAAGAAGCACTTCCAGAATACTCCTTGAAGGTGAGGATTTATTTTACATACTTTGAGCAGGCTGAAGTAAAATGGAGGATTACCAAAAAAGAGGAAGACCCTCAAGGTTGAGTGACATAGTGGCCACAACAATTGGCTTCATCAAGCACAGCAGCAATTGTTAGAATGATAAAGGATTTGTAGGATTTCATTCTGTTTCCCACAGAGTTTCACATAAGCCACGACTGGGTAAATAGCACTGATAACAACTATCATGATTCAACCTATAAATGGTTCAAAGACGAGAAAATAATTATATACTGAAGTAGCACTAGAGAAATTTTGATTCAAGAAGCTGGACTACATGAAGAAGAATATGACATCAAGAGGAAGACCCATCAACAACCTGCATTATGTAATGACAAAACTTTGCTTGTGGAAATGGAAGAAGATGTCAAAGTTTTACTGAAGAAGATCAAAGAACACAGCATTCAGTATGGTTTTCATCACAATATCAAGACAAAAAAGCAACTCTACCAATAGACAACATCATGATAAATGTAGAAATGATTGACATTGTCAAGGATTTCATTTCACTTGGGTTCACAATCAACTCCCTTGGTAACAGCAGTCAAAAAATCCAACCATATATTGCATTGGATATATCTGTTATCAAGGACTGTAAAGTGCTAAAAAAGCAAGGATATCTATTTAAACTAAGGTTTATCTGAACCAAGCTGTGGCATTTTCATTTGTTTTCTTTACATCTGAAAGTTGGAAAGTGAATAATGAATATCAATGAAGATTTGATGTCTCTGAGTGGTGGTGTTGTCAAAGAGTTTTGAATGAATTGCCAAAAGGACAAACAAATCTGCCTTGAAAGACGTAGCTCAGGTGCTCCTGAACGGCAAAGATGAGAAGAGTTTGACTTTCACATGCTTTTATTATGCTATCAGGAGGGGCTCGTCCTTGGAGAAGGACATCATGCTTGGAAAAGTAGAGGGTGAAAGAGAGGAAGATGCACAATGAAATGGTTGACATAATGACTGCAATAATGGGCTTGAGCACATTGGAGATTGTGAGAATGGGGCCAGATAAGGGAAGGTTTTAGTATGTTGTAGATGGGATCATGGTAGTTTGGTTGCCTTCGTTACACCTAACAACACCAACAGCAAGTAGTGGTAGTGATTTTCCCCTGTATATTCCTTTTCCTTGTTTACAAGACTGGATTATGAGGGAGTTGGATATGAGTACTGCCTTTACTTGCACAGTACTTCCTATTGTGATTCATTTATGGTCCTTAAAGCCAAAGTAGTGGTTGTATGGACCTATAGCAACCTAGAGAATGTTGATCTCTTAAGTCCTTAGGAACTAAGGTTTATACTGGACCTTACCTTAAAGTTGACCGAAAAAGTGAATCTCTCAAAAGATCTGAGAGAGGAAGTATCTTTTCAATGTGATAGCATATTGTGCTATCTTCTGTGATAATAATAATAATAATAATAATAATAATAATAATAATAATAATAATTCTTTTTTCACCTGCATATTTTAGGAAATGACAAAATATAGAAAAGCAAAAACAAGAAAATAAAGACATCATATTCTTCCTGTCAGAAAGGAATTGAAAGTCCACAAGTGGGTGTCAGCTGATTGGACTTGCCAAATAGACTGGGAGGTCTCTGGTTTATAGTCAATCAGCATTTGGGTGTGCCTGTATTTAAAAATGTGGTGGGACCCTCAGGTGAAATGTTAATTGATTTTGGGATGAACATTCTTTTAAATGGTACAACAGTGGTCTGTCTATTTGCTGTACGGAAGTGTCTTGGAGTTGCCGTGATATTGAACAAC